GCGGGGGGCGAGGGAAGGGGGTTCCATTGATTTTTTACTGGCCTAGTTTGTCGCTCACGCCCGACGTTGTGACGTACAAGGCCGCGCTTGGCCCGGTTGCGATTGTCAAGACGGCAAGACGCTTCCAGCTCGCGATGGACACATACTCCTCGGATAATGAGAGTCAAGAGCATGGTGTCTCGGACTGGGAAAAACCTGGATTAAGCGGGTATTATGCTCGGGTAGATATACATTCACGGTCCTTGGTATGTTTGTTGCCTATGCGATGAAATTGAAGGCGAACTTTATGTGTGTGTATATCTGCTGATGAACTTACACATGGATTGCATTTAGCAAAAAGGAACAAGTGGATTGCATTTTGCAAAAAGGAAACAAGAGCATTCCATTGTTGCTAAGATTGTGCAGCATACATTCCTTGCAATAAAATTGCTGAAACCTTGCAAAAAGTTAAATCTACTATGGTAATTTTCGTTTTGAATTTATAGTTTAATGAGAGTATAAATAAAACTTATTCAGATGATCAGTTTATATTTGCAAGGCGAAACAAGTTGCACAATCATAGCGACATTGGAATACTCGTGGTTCCTTTTTGCAAAATGCAATCTAAGTGTGATTTTAGTTGTTGTAAAATGTTGCTTCTTGGTAACTATGCAAAAAATCTCCCTGATTAGCAAATAGTTTGGGCTTTCCACCGAAAAATTGTAATTTTAAAGGAAACTAATTGTGTACATTTTAATACTGTACATAAATTAGTATTTTTTGAAGAAAAGGAGAAGTTGCACGATTTTGAAAACATTGTAATTGCGCTGGTTCCTGTTTGCTGAGTGCGATCCACATATATGATCCTCTTAATTCTTTTACAGTTTAAATTTCACGAACTGATTGCGGCAGGCGCACCAGTCATATAATAGAGAGTAAGTTGGAAACGTAGCCAAAGTGGTTAAAATCCAGAAAACTGCTTATCTCTTCGAGGGAAAGTTGTGCTCAAATGAGCTTTTTCCCTCTGTAGTAAGATTTCCAGTTTTCTGGATTTTAACGCACGTTGGCTGCATTTCCAACTTACTGAGTTTAAATTGTGTCTCGGATTGGAAAAAAACGGTGATTCATCAAGGAATAAAACAATTGAAGAAAGATTAGGGAAAAATCAGGGAATTTGATCCAGAAACCGGGAATTTGTTCTTTTACCGCGAAGAATTTATGCTATTGCACCTGAACCACCATTATTGACCACTTGTATTACATATCGTCGTTTCTCTCACGAAAAAACGTAACTCCATTTCAACGTCGTCAAAGTTCCCAGCGTGACTTGCACTTTAACCTGGAGAATTTTGAGAATTTCTCCGAGAATTCACAGAAACCCAAAGTGCCTTCATTTTTTCATGTCTGCAACATGATCATCCCGAGTGCCGGAAGATTTGAATAAAAATGCTCCTTCTATGGTTGTTCGATGAACGCAAGACAACCAAGAGTGCCTTCAATTTTGGGATATGCAAAACGGGCATCCCTCGAGTACCAATAGTTGCATCCAGGTGTTATTACAATTATAGCAGCACCATATGCACCCCGGAGGCATGAAATTTATTCGCATAGCACCTTACATAGGGTGTCTCAGAATTAAAGCGTTGTGCAGAAGCATGTTATTTGTGTCAATTTAAGACTTTTTCTTCTGTAAAACTCTTTTCTCATAATGTCTCCAGTTCGAACTATGCGGCTTTCTAAACTTTTTTTTACGGTTATGGACCAACATTCCTACCTGACGATACCTCAAGTTCAGAAGGACTTATTTCTGCCAAACGGAGATATGTGCATTATGACGTGAGCCCTGTTATGCATTAATTCTTATGGGTCTCAGGGTTCATGTCTTAATGCACATAGTTCCGTTTGGCATAAGTGCGTCTTCAAGAGATTTTGGGGGTTGCAATGGCCCTTTTTCCGAAACCTTCTGCAAGTGATTTGATTTTAAAAAGCTTTTAATGCGAGTACTGTCAAGATCATCGGCCAGATTTTTCCACTGAGCTTATATCCGCCGTGCTAAGGAAGAACACCGCATGAACATTCAAGAGTTGCCATATTTCCTTCGATAAAATGTTTATTTTTGCGGAAAGTCATGTATATTTTACCTTGAAATTTTCAGATGTTATAAATGAAATTTTGAACAGAACTGTCTGAAAAATTAGACGAAAAATATTCAGAATTTTCCTAGTAAATAGTGTTTTATCGAAGGAAATATGCAGCGCCTGAAGGTTCATACAGCGTTTTTCCTTAGCACGGCAGATATATATCATATTTTGCTGAGGCTCCGTTTCGAGAAACCAGTCAATAACGCATACCAAAACGAACAGAATCCCAGCCCGTTTCGAATCATTTGGACATATTCCTGCCAAACGGAACTATGTGCATTATGACGTGAGCCCTGTTATGAATACATCCTTACGGGTCTCAAGGCTCATGCTTTAATGCACATTGTTCCGTTTGGCAGAAGTCCGTTCATTTCATAACGTCATCGACGTGAAGTGCGTGTGCTTTGGGTGCGTGGCAAAAACCGTCAAGTCGAAAACTACCCATGACACGCCTCATTGCTCCGATTGGGGGGTTATCAAACCGCCCCCGCCGAAGAG